GAATAAAAATATGCAATTCCTATTGTGGTATATTTTCAATGTTTAATTATATTTTAATTTTTTTCCCCTAACAAATCTCAAATCTCTTTATAAGCCCATAGAAAGTGTGAAAAGTCTCGTGTAGAGTGTAGACATCGAGACTAAAAGGAAGTACAACTCAAAAAAAACAAGTAAATTAAAGAATAAAATTTTAATTGTAATAAAGGTGATTTTCTAATTTAATTTTCAATAAGTTCTAATTACCTACGTGATCCTTTATAATTGAGATTTATTCTCAAATAGTTATTTACTCAAATAATGATTAATTAAAGAGTATTTTGTTACTCAAATATATTCTCCAAATGATAATTTCTATACAATTAAATGTAAAATTAAAAAAATACATTGACTATACATATTCCATGAGTTATTAAAAACCGATAAAAAATCTTTTAAAATTCGAATCAAATATATATCTTTAATTAGAAAAACCATATTAGAAAAGCACTTCATTTGAAATAATCATTTTAAAAATTTATTCTAAATGTAGTTGATAAAAGATATCAAAATATTCTTCAATTAATCATCGAGTAAAATAAACACTACTCATAAAGGACTATCTAGAAAAATAAATCTAAGCAATTAAAACTTATAAAGGATTGATATAACAAAATAGCTAGTGAGAGCAACTCCAGCGCAACCTTTATATGCTAAAAAAAGCATTTTATAGATGTTACTGTAGCTATTACTCCGTATATTCATGCTCCAACGCACCACCTATATTATAGAGCACCCTTTAAATATAGAATTGCATCCTCTTTAAATAAATGTTTACTGTAGCATAGCTATATCTTTTTTTTTAAATCTCTTTTCTCACGCTACTCCGCATCTCCAGTCCACCGGCGGTGGCGGCGGTCTTGCCATCTCACTCCGAAAAGCTTCATTTCCATACTTAAGAGAAGAGTTGCAAGGTCTATATATAAATCTAAGATCAGGGCCTAGATCCGAAGCTTGGACGGTCCACGTAAGACTTGTGTCCGGCTCACAAACTGGCTTGCTCACCATTTTTTCCGGCGAACATCACAAATGATGTTTCTTTTTTTCTTTGTTATGACAAAATAATGTTGATGGGTTCCGTGTTTAATTAAATAATCATAGTTTTTAAAAAAGGATATAATTCAAAAATAATTATTTATTATGAAAAGCTAAAATATGAGTAATATGGTTGGAGTGAGGGTGGAAAAATGAACTGTTAAAACACTGTTCAAAAGCTATAATAGCAAATAGAAGACCAAAATATAAATGATGGGTTGGAGATTGTCTGAGTGATGATTATTTTGGAAATTTATTTAAATTAAATTGGTCAATATAGGATAAGGTAAGTACGTTATAGGGAACAGTAATCAGTAATCTTCTTCACTGTATCTAAAACAGATCCTTTTCACCTTCCCAACTCAAATCCATCTTTCTCCCGTCACTACACTGCTGTAAACTTTTATTCCTCTCCCATAGTCCCATCTATTTAAATTATCACCCTTTTCTTTTAAGTATTTAAATCCAATTAACTCTCTTTTTACCCGTGTTTAAAATCCCCAGCCATGAACGGCCGCCGCGGCAAGGAGAAGCTGGTGGTGGAGGTGGCGGCGGCGCACAACCTCATGCCGAAAGACGGCGAGGGCTCGTCGTCCGCGTTTGTAGAGGTCAAGTTCGAGAACCAGACCGGGAGGACTCAAGTGAAGCACAGGGACTTGAACCCGGTCTGGAACGAGAAGCTCGTGTTCAGCGTAAACGACGTCGCCGGCCTCCCTTACCGGACGGTCGAAGTCAACGTTTTCAACGAGCGGAAGTCCAACAGCACCCGCAATTTCCTCGGCCGGGTCTGGGTTTCCGGGTCGACCGTTGCCCGGGAAGGCGAAGCGGCTGCCCAGATTTTCACGCTCGAGAAGAGGACCGTCTTCTCCCACGTCCGCGGCGAGATCAGCCTCAAGCTTTACATTTCTACCACGGAGAAGGAGGAAGAAGAGAAAGTCAAACAGGTCATCAGCGCCGGCGCAGGAGGAGCGGTTGCTTCATCCACGCCCACGCCGAAATCCAAGAAAAACAAGAAAGTGCAGGGGAAAAACACGGTTCTTCCGGTGCACCAGGAAAACAAACCGAACCCGGCGAAACAGGTGGAGCCCAGTCAGCCTATCGTTGTAACCTCCGTCCCCGGCGCCGCCGTGTGCGGCGGAGAAATGGCGGGTCCTTATTCTGCCGCCGGACGGAACACTACAAGCCCTCAACTGGGCGGCGGGACGACCCTGAAGCTAGACAAGACGAGTGCGACCTACGACCTGGTGGAGCAAATGCAGTACCTCTACATCAAGGTGGTCAAAGCACGGTTTGACTTCGCCGGCGGCGAGCTCGTCGCCGAAGCCAAGCTCGGAAACTACAGGGGAATCACGAAAAAGGCCCCTGCAAATCTCCCGGTGTGGGACCAGGTCTTCGCCTTCTCCAAAGACTCAATTCAATCCTCGTTCGTGGAAGTCTACGTGAGGGAAATCAACAGAGACGATTTCTTAGGGCGCGTTTGGTTCGACTTGAATGAGATCCCCCGGAGGGTGCCGCCGGACAGCCAGTTAGCCCCGCAGTGGTACAGAATGGAGGGCAAAACAGGGGACGACAAATCCAAAGCAGGGGAAGTCATGGTCGCCGCTTGGTTCGGGACCCAAGCTGACGAGGCATTTGCCGAGGCTTGGCATTCCAAATCAGCAAATGTAGGGTCGGATGGTCTCAGCTCTATAAAGTCTAAGGTTTATCTGTCCCCCAAGCTTTGGTATTTGAGGGTTGGAGTCCTAGAAGCCCAAGACATTGTTGTACCATCGTGTGACAAAGGGTCCTCCTTACTCCGGTATCCCGACCTTTTCGTGAAGGTTCAGGTCGGGAATCAGGTGTTGAGGACCCGAGTCTCCAAAACCTTTTCGTGGAATGAGGACTTGATGTTTGTGGTTGGGGAGCCATTTGAGGATCTTGTAATCCTCTCGGTGGAGGACCGTGTGTCTCCACACAAGGACGAGGTTGTCGGGAGGTTGGTTTTGCCCGTCTCGGGGCTCGAGAGACGGGCAAACGAGAAGCCCGTCACCCCCATGTGGTTTAACCTGGACACCAATTTCAACAATAATAACCAGAGTTGTCTTTCGAAGTCCGTGAGGTTCGCACCTCGCATTCGCCTCCGGGCTTCGTTGGACGGAGGGTATCATGTGCTGGATGAGTCGACGGTGTACAGTAGCGACCTCCGCCCGACTGCAAAACAGCTCTGGAAGCCTCGTGTTGGGGTTCTCGAGGTCGGGTTCTTGGGCGCCGCGAATCTCGTCCCCATGAAGATGAAACAGGGAACAAGGGGATCGACTGATTCATACTGTGTGGCCAAGTATGGTCAGAAATGGATCCGAACCCGGACCGTCGTCGACAGCTTGGCACCCAAATGGAACGAGCAGTACACCTGGGAGGTTTTCGACCCTTGCACGGTCATCACCATCGCCGTGTTCGACAATTCCCGGGTCCTGACCTCCTCCTCTACGGGTACCGTTCCTGACCTGCGGATCGGGAAGGTCAGGATCAGGCTCTCGACTCTCGAGACGGATAGAGTCTACCCTCTCACGTACCCGCTCCTCATGTTGCACCCGTCGGGTGTGAAGAAGATGGGCGAGCTAAGCTTGGCGGTCCGGTTTTCGTGTGGTAATAATATGGTTAACATGCTTCACATGTACACGTTGCCGTTACTCCCGAAGATGCATTATGTGCAGCCGTTGACGGTGAGTCAACTCGACGGGTTGAGGTATCAGGCCATGAACGTGGTGACAGGGAGGCTGAGCAGGGCGGAGCCGCCTTTGGGGAGGGAAGTTGTTGAGTACATGCTGGATCATGACAGCCAAATGTGGAGCATGAGGAAGAGCAAGGCTAACTTCTTAAGGTTAACCAGTGTCCTAACCTGGGCTGTCAACATGTGCAGGTGGTTCGAGTCGGTACGGAACTGGAACAAACCGGTTTACTCAGCCGGTTTCTTGATCGCCTTCTTTGTCGTCGTCCTTATCCCCGAGCTCGTTGTCCCTTGCGTATTCCTCTTCATGGCCGCCGTGGGGCTCTTGCGGTACAGGTGGCGCCCGCGGGCCCCGCCCCGCATGGACACGAGGCTGTCATGCGCGGAGAACGTCGAGCCGGACGAGCTCGACGAGGAGTTCGACTTCTTCCCGAGCGCGCGGGGCCCGGAGGTTGTCCGGTTGAGGTACGACAGGTTGAGGAGCGCGGCGGGGAGGATCCAGACGGTGGTCGGCGACGTGGCGATGCAAGCGGAGAGGTTCCAGGCATTGCTGAGCTGGCGTGACCCGAGGGCTACGTTCCTGTTCGTGGTGTTTTGCTTCCTGGCGGCGCTGGGGTTCTACATGGTGCCGTTCCGGTTGGTCGTGGCGGCGTGGGGGGTTTACGTGTTGAGGCCACCCAAGTTCAGGAACAGGTTGCCTTCTTGTGCCGTCAGTTTCTTCAAGAGGTTGCCCACCAGAGCTGATAGTCTTCTGCTATGAAGAAACAAATCAGCTTTCTCTTTGGTTGGCAGGGCAGACTAGGGTTATGTAATTTGGGAAATTAGATAGCTTTTGTTTGATGTGGGCAATGTTTTAAGTCTGTTCTTTTTTGGGAAACATTGGAGTAGGAGCTGTCTTTTGTAACCTTTGTTGTGTCATAAAGACATGCTGGCTCTGTTTTTCTTCTATATTTAGCTTTTGTCGCAATCTTGATGTGATTTTACTGCTTTTGCTCTTATAACCATTTAGGTTACCCCATTGTTTTTTTTTTTGAAAGCCTAGGTTACCCCATTGCCCTTTTGACAACCATTTTGGTTGTCATAATGACACCGGGCATTACGGTACTCTGTTGGGTCCCTCGGAGTGATTCCTATCCATGTAACCCCTTTGAGGTCGAAAAAAACATAATACCGCCTTCAAATGTCTGGTGTCATATATTATTACGACATCGAAAGTGAGAGTTAAAAGATCCACAATTGCGCTATTCGGATTTCATGTCATTTACACAGAGTATAGTAATAGTAATAGTATTTCCTTTGCCAATTTCGACATTGTATAGTAATAGTAACAAAGTTTACAAACATTGCAAGAGAAAATATTACTCTTGGGAGGTCTAAACTAGAAAAGGTGCAAGGCGAAGGTCATCACGGCAGGGGAGGCCGGCTCTGGCGCCTAAGGCTCTGCAACTGATAGCGGCCTGCAAACCATCTTTCCCATTTACTCTGTATAAAATAGGGTGTTGCTATATCCACGCCCGTTTTGGCTACCTTTTATGTTAAATAGACAACTTTAATTTGTCCTTAAAAATACAAAGAAAACATATTAGATGTAAGCCAATGTTTAAGGGCATAGTTGTCCATCAACCATATTATACGTGGATTTAGCCAAAAAGGATGTGGATTTTTAAAAAGAACCCCAAAATGCCAACACCGGGAAAAGAAGAAGATGAAAGTAGTAACTAACCACTTGAGCAGCAAATGGCAGCATCTTCTCCGGTGGCATTTCAGCACAGATTGCTGCACGGAGTTTATGGAAAATTTGTTAGTCTCTTTCTTGATGAGATAAACATCTCCTCTGTATGAACAAATGTAATTTTACAGGACATACAGTAAAGGATTGCCCCGATAAATGCATCCCCAGCACCTGTTGTATCGACTAGTTCCGAAGATGGTATCTTTTCGGCTGTTCCCACAAGTAGTCTCCCACTCATTGTTCCTATTCCCTTGGCTTCCAATTTTGCAGGGCACTGTGTATGCTTGCATGTGCACAAGGAGAGTGAACAAAGTACAGATAATATCAATGGTATACCTAACACCTTCCCCTATAAGGTGATTATTACTCGGGTCATGCTATAGACACACTCACACACCACAAATGACACCAAGGTTGATGCTGCTACGATGATTGTCAGCGTGGGATAAATCTATAGGCACGCCACCATTATGATGCCATGTTTCCCAGTGATCGAGACAATGATTATCCAAATAAGTCTGTGAAACACATAGTCTCAAACTTTGGTGTGACTAGCATAGTCCCTAACTAGTTCCCTATGTCTTCAGTGTGCCAACATTGATGTCATCCTTGGAGTTAAAATAGAGCATGTTCCTTATTGCTCTAGTACTCCGTATTAATTTTACAAAATAAACCACCGGAAATATAATGTGATCCCACATTTTTTTAATACAAACGGCCATATTAATTTCGTCTTTCAATGATGAAACGATCCTTTAAATGCAAGGACAAAAACCCCAACATAATCCCAATTATGTTTGGGATTTGAGGGCAGTGAGGGGTTAAGATGTGCGCAAACTTACCCCTGAAGAAATAAATAAAAAAACTTATTTTGTTTAGACCCGTGAGGGTTCATTTACACAAAACTTTATAGAAAGAAGCTAAGAAAATACAATGGGTATTTTCAATTAGGTACAATATTTACTCAAAGCTAAAACATTGTCAATAATGCTTCTTGAGCTCCATTGGTAATGAAACCAACAAAACAATCGTTCAAATGGAAGATAAAATTACCGATGGTATGCATGTGGGCATGGTTAGATTGGCATCCTTCTTTTGCTTGAGTATTTCATACAAGTCGTCTACATCAATTTCCTCAGCTTGGACGGACTCTGAAAAAGTGTTTTAACAAAAATCGTGGTTATAAATTGTGTGGTATTATCTAATTGAACCATAGCCATTTGTTTTTAAGTTATCTTTGTCTATAAGAATGTACTTTCAAAATTATGATAGAAAGAAGGCACAAGGCGTATGTTTTACCAGGTTCAGTCCTTTCTAGCATTATGCAACCCTCATCACCCAATGTCACAGCAACAAATTTCACATTTGGCAACCTCAGAAGCATGGAAACAAGTGCGCTTGGAAGAGTAGGGGCCTCGGCCCATGCCTGTAAAAGACAATACACATTTTATTGACCTTTGACGAGCATGCCACGACAAACAGAGGGGGAGAGCCTATCTAATTATACGAATAATTTTTATGAAAGTCAAATTGATATGGGATTCCATGGTTTACATCTTTTCTTTCTCCCCTCCATAATTCTCAAATACTCAAATTTATCTTTCTTAATAATTGCATCTGGTCAAATGTGAAACCTTAATTCGAAATGGAAAAGCTTGCCTGTGGAAACCTCGTTGAGCATACAACATAATTAGCAAAGCTCAAAAGTCCATCAAGCCCTTCCCTTATCCTTTCTGCATCAACTAAAATTGGTATGCACCTACAAGTTGCCTGTACTGAAATCCAAAATGCATGCAACTTACTTCTATTTTGACACTCACATTCATATAATAGCAACAAAAAATGACTTTAAATCAGCACACGCACACACATTCCCAAGAAAAGAAAAAAAAGGGTTAGTAAGCTACAAAACAAAATGAGCAAGATACATATACAGATAGTGTAATAACAAGTACCTCCTTTGCCACAACCAAAGCTGTTTCATGCAATCTCCCATCAAAATAGACAACTCTAGCTCTATCAATAGCAGACATCAAATTTGATTGGCATAGGTCTTCTGGTATCATGGGAGGGTCCCCGGGAGTGCGTATGCAAGTTCGAGTTTTCCTGAAATATCACAAAAGACTTTTCTTCACACAATACAACATGCAAAGTGAAATCTCACCTTTCCTGTAATTACAAGGATAAGTTGAAACAAAAAGATATAAATGTCAAAGTAATCAATCTAGTGTCATAGTGGAATTGCGAGGAAAAGATTTTTTAGAACAACCCAGTAGAATCCTACAAAAGTGGGGTCTGGGGAAGGTGTGTGTACACACATCTTACCCCTACTTGACCGTATTACAATATTCAAAGGGAGGATTAGCAACTCATACTAGAATGTAAAATGGTAACATCTCTTAAAGCAATTCATAATACCCTTCAAGGACATAAATATACTCCCTCTGTCCAACTAATCATTTCACACTTTCTTTATTTGGATGTCCCAAAAAAACTTAACATTTCTCCTGTTTCTTGTTAAGGAAAGAGGAATATATGACTCACAATACTTCTCTCTTCTAGAGATAATTCCAACCACATACTTCACACTTTTAACACTTCTTTTGAACTCAATCAAGTCAAAGGTTGAAGTTCCTTATGTTATGGAGGGAGTAGCATCTAGCAATCTACCATGTGCACTAGGTTAAGGTTATGTTTGGTGTAAATTTTAAAGAGGAAAAGATGCTTATTTAACTGGAAAACAGTCAGTTAACATAATGCCTTTTTGTTTGTTTGAAGGAAAACTTATGGTTTAAGGAAAAACAATTTTACACAACTCCCAAGAGCTTGAAATAAATGGAAGATTTGATTCATTTGAATTGACGACAACACCCAATAACGTTGTAAAAAAACCACTCATTAGGTGCTTATTTTATAAATGATATTCCAATACGCTCTTATATAAGCTACCAGATACGAATTAATTACTTTGCTAATAGATCTTTGATTAAAATCCTATCATTTTCTACCTTTAATGAATCCTTTTTTTTTTCAAAAAAAAAAATTCCAATCATATCCTCAAACAATCTTGAACTTGAATGAAAGATGGATAGCTATTAAAACAGAAGGCAATACACTCACATTTTGTTATCCACAATGACATAGGTGAATGGTGAATTGCCTCTGTTGGATACCTAAAATGAAGATTCCCAGCATCATGGTTTTGCAATGTCTTCATTATTAAAAATCTGAAGTTTTTACTATAATGTGAAACATCAATATTTGTACTAAAAAGCTTACCACCCTAAAATATGAACATTTGTACTAGGGAGCTTACCACCATAAACGAGGTGTCAACACCATCCTCATCTAGCTCATCCAATATTCCCTTGCCTTGTAAATCATTAGCAACCTATTCCATAAAATCATAATTCAAGGCGCCATGGTAAAGTGGCTTGGAAGTGCAGTGGTGAAGAGGAAGAATGGATCTTCCTAAACCAATTCCTAGTACACTATCCCCAAAAATACCGAAACACATCACAATGACCTGAAATGATTCAGTCCACTTGCTCGTATATGAAGGGGTTGCTCGTTCGCTTAAAAATTAGTATCAAGAACCTAACACTACAAGTCTACAACACTTCAAAACCAGACCTACTAAAAGTAATCCATTGCAAGCTCAGAAGACGTATTCTACTGAACAGAAGATAATGGAAAACCGCTACTGTTCTATTAGTTCTAAAATCAATTAAGGGAAAATGCTCAAGTAAAGATCAAGTAGCAATATTTCAATTCGACGAACATTGGACCTTGGAAATGATCCTTGGATTAAGTCCTAGCTGAGCTGCGCAAGTCAAAGCATTCCCAGTGTTGCCACCTCCTTGGACCTATCATCAATTCACACACAAGTTCAGCTTTCATCCACAAATGACAACAAAAGTCAAAAACACCAGAGTTCATAGGTTTAATCATCACCGGCACCAAAATTGTCTTATAGGGAGATCAAAACCTGAAAGCTGGTGGTTCGAATTTTATCATCTGGTTTCGGATAGGAAGCCACAGCAGCCAAGAAGTCCACCCCCACACTTCCAACACCCAACTGCCCACCAGAACCACACAAAAGCAAAAAAGCTGAGATTTTTTATATTTCTATGGCGAAATAGAAACATAAAAATAAGGATTTATATCGATTGAAAGAGGGCCTGAGAGCGGCGCACCACAATGCGATTTTCGGGTAGGGGTGGAATTGACATTTCCAACTTTGAAGCTCTGTCATCGTTTGAACAAAGTTTAAAGTGAGCTCGACAGTGCAAAAAAACAAGCAGTAAAAAGATGCTACGATGATTGCCGAAAGGGATCGTATAACCTCGCACAAGAAATACTGGAACTTGTATAAGACGGCGAAAGGATCGACGAGTTCCTCCGTGAGCCACCGGCAAGGGAGGCGGCGGGTCGGTGATAACGTCCTCCGGACGTCTTCATTTCCGAGGGCCGGGGTTAACTGGCTCGTGATGATGTCCTAAAAAGAGGAATTTAACCTCTACCATTGATAATCATTTACCACCTAACATTATTCCTCTACTATATATATTAAATCCAACATTAACAAATGATTTATGTTTTAGTTATATTTAATGTAAATTTTTCAAAAAAAAAACTATTCTGATTTTTACAAAATACCCAATCTTATCTTTTATCATATCATTACACTAAAGTCATAAGATATACTGATATACATAAACTTTATGACCACATAAGAATGTCTTATTATCATAATAAAAATTTGCATACAAAACTAATGATGTGAATAAAAAATACGAAAAATTATCTGAAATAGTCTACATTTTAGTGCTTCTCAAAGTTAATGTTACCTTTAACTATCAGGCATGATACTCCCACCATTCTGAAAATGTGCGAGTTTTGAGTCGTCGTTAAAAAGCTAACGGAAACTTAATTTTATTTTAGAAAAGTCTATTTTGTGAAAAATAAATGAAAAGTGAGATTATTTGAAAGAAATTAACTTTTTCATTTTTTTGTAAATTTTAATTTTAATTTTTGAAATTACTTATTTGAGATTATTAACTTTTTTTATTTTTTATTAGAATGGAAGGGGTTCAAGTCAAGTACCCATGCACCGGTCAATCCTGCATTGTTATCTTATTTCTATCTTCAAATCAAGTACCCATAAACCACATAATTTGCAGCACATGACACAATGCCCTAGAACTTCTTTAATTTAAAATAAATTAAATGATTAAATGTAATTACTAGTAAAAATCCATTAAAATTAAAACTCTTATTCCGTACAATTCCATTAAAATTAAAAATATTAACCATTGAGGGGTTTGAGTAAATAAAAATGGTGAAAGCTTGAATAAATAAAAATAGTGGAAGGTTAAGTTGGGGGAATAAAAGTGGCAAAAAGAAGGGCTTGTAGTATTATTTATGCATAATACGAGTAAATAATGTGTATAAGTTCATTATTCTCCTAAAATGAGTTCATAATAACAAGTTCATAATAAATAACGTGTAATAAGTTCATAATAACAGATTATTATTTAATTAGTTGAAGTTCAAAAAATTTAAAAAAACTAAATAAGCGGCACGACAGAACCGGTGCAATGGAACCTATTGTTGTCATTTTGTCATGCCCCACCCTAAGCCCGGCATTCGGCCCGCGCCGCAACACGGAACGCATCCCCTTGATCTCTCTATAATTGTATTTCTTCCATCCCATAAAACTTTTTTACGCGCTTTAAAAATGTGTAGTTTTGATATATATTTTTTTAAATTTTGCCATAGTCTCATTATAAGGTAGGATACAATTTGTATGATTGATACGTTATAATTAGAAAATAATATCAAAATAACACATTTTTAAAGTGCATAATTTTTCATTTTTGAAAAAATCTATGGGACGAAAGAAAAAGTATCATTATCTAAAGAATAGTTCTAATAAGGTTGTTTCTCAAAAGATTTCTATTTACTTTTGTGAGATATTAGTTTAAAATTGGTTATTTAAATAAAAGTGATTGAGTTATACTCACCCCACACTCGTTGTGTACATTAATATTATAATGTTGATAATGATTTGATGCTTCAACTTCTCGAGTTAACTTTAGACATTGAATTGTATCCAAGTATATTGGTTCACATGGTATCGGAACTAAGGTCATAAATTTCAGAGGCACCCACAATTATTTGCGTCTCGTGTGAGGGGCAGAGGGCGGGGTTGCTGAGTTATACTCATCCTACATCAGCTATATATACGTTTTAGGTGTCATTGGTTATATTACAATATATTATCTGTTTATATTATTCTCAACATACTCATATATAAAGAGTCAACGCATCTGCCTTTGCTAGAATTTCAACCTCCGTGAACTTTCTCATATATCTTAGAGAGCGTGCTTCTTACCACTCAATTCAAGAGAGAAATTTCATCGGCTATGTATACTAATATTAAGGTTTTTATGTTGATTTGGGTGCCTCAAACTCCTTGAGTTAACTTTGGGTATAAGCGTCTGGTAATTTGTACTCCGTATGTATAATCTTTTGCTTAATTTATTTCGTGTGCTTGCAGACTAATGCAAAGATACTTAAAGCAAAGTTTTGCAAGTGTTTTATTTTACTCAGGCAAAATTCATGTTAAGCTAAATCAATTTCGTTGTAATCACTGGGTAGCGATAAAACACTATAGGTAATCCATAAATACAGATGTCATATGCCTCGTGCATTACTACTCAAGCGCATTGAAAATAATGATTGTAAAGATCACATAAATCCCACATGAGAGTGTTTAGAGTTAATTATGTAAAAGGCATTCCTCCATTACACAATAATATCTATTAAAAATTATTAATTACATTAAATTTTGAACGAATGTAGAATTAAGTATATCTATATTCATTCAGAATCTAATGTATCTAATAAACATCAAAAAACAACTATTGTATAATAATGAAGGACAACCAAACAACCACAATAGCTAATTATGAGTGAAATATTTGTCATAAGTATCACATGTTAATAACAACACCTAATATTGAGTCATTGACACCTCGTTTTTACCTATAAATTAAATACTTGTCAATCGTTCATTTAAAAGATCTAAATTTTAAGGTTAATCTTAGTAGCATTGTTCCTATTTGTGTTTTACAAAGAGTTTAAGAAAAGTTAAATTAATTGATTGAAATTTAATTTGGGCAAAGAGGAGATAATTGATATACAATCCCATTTTTTAAAAAAGAAATCGAGAATGTAAATCATGATACAAAAAAATATACTCCCTCCGTTTCCATGTATTTGTCCACTTTCATTTTTACACACCATCCAATACACTTCTTTAATCCATTTTATCTTGTAATTTGTATATTAAAAAATTATAAAAATTATATATTAATAATCTATATGTTAAGACAAATCAAACAAGATCACACATGACTAAATTTAGGCTTACACATTGAGATAATTTGATGAGTCAAAGTGCTTAGATGAACAGTTCCAAAAGTCAAATGTGGACAAATACAGGGGGACGGAGGGAGTAGAAGATAAAAAAATGGATAGAAAAATAGTAATTAGACCGCGTCTTCTCGATATTTTTGTGTCCTCGAATGGTTTGGTAATAACTTAAAGACTTATGACCTGTTTGGTGAGTTTTAGAAATATGATATAGATCTCGAAACTTTGGAAAAAATGATAGGAATTTGGAAATTTGAAATAAAATCGCTTGGAGATATTTAAATTTCGATTTAATTAGTGATAGGTGAGGAGTGACCGACAACGTAAGTGGTCGACGAGTGAGTAGATATCAATATCTGATATTGATTTCTCTCCCAAATTCGAGAGATATCAAAATCCACCATTCGAAGAATTTTTTTACATCTAGAAAATACCAAATTTGAATTCTTTTTAGAGAAATTTACTTAAATAGCACTAAAACATAATGACTTTCTCTAAATAACACCACATGTGTTTTTCTTTCCAATGTAGCACTTTTAGTCATTATGCATTAGTTATTATTTAAGTAAATATTCACAATCACAAGACATTATTAACATTATTAAGTGCTATTTAGGAGATAAAACAATTTAAGTACTATTTAGAGAAATGAATTTAGTTTTAGTTCTATTTAGTGGAAATATTTCTTCTTTATATATCTTACCAAATACCAATAAAGAAATATAATACAGTGCATAAAATGTAAAAATCTCATCAGAAGAATGGTTAATTTCTTACACTCATTAAACTAGTCAATAACATGTTATGTCATATTCTCTTCAATTTATTTTTATTACTCATTATTTTCTCTTATCGAAATTAAGTCAAATCAAATTAGATAATAAATAGCATTAAATAATAATCAAAATTTATTTCAAGAACATCAAAAGTATTGAGATGAACAATTAAACTTTGAGGTTCTTGAAGTGTTGAAGGGAGCATGGCGGCGTGATCACTAAACCCAGGGGAGGCAGGCCCGGGGCGAGACAGGGCGCCGTATAGAGAGCGGTCAGCCCCCGTTGCGATCAATCCACGTGGCTCGTACTCAGGCGGACATCAGTATTTGTTGTCTTCGTCTCCTTTCATCGGCTCTTCAAATGCATTCGCTTCCGGTTTCTTCACAGTCTCCTAAGCACATCTCGTTTAACGGGCGCCATGAACTTCGTCGGAAAACTCATTTTCTCCTCGATTTGCCGCCTTTGAAGTCAAGCTTCTGCTGAAATTTCCACCCTTTTGCCAGTAATTTTTCTTTTTTCTCGGATTCATCTCTGTTTTCCCGTTTTTTTTAATAAAGAAATTTGTTCTTCTTCAGATTAACTCCATTGATTTATAGCTGCCGTTTCGATTCTTGAGTGTCATTGTTCGGAAACAGAGTCTGTTAATGAATTTCTGATTGGGTTTCTTTTGCGAATGGGTGTGTGCCATTGATTTTAAAGCAGGCATCAGCTGATAGGTGTTTGTTCAATGGACTGTTCGGAGGAGGAATTGGGGGAGAAGAGACTGATCAAGAAACGCGAACTGGTTAGGCTCATCATTCAGTCTCTCTATTCACTAGGCTATAGGAAGTCTGGGGAGTGTTTAGAATCTGAGTCTGGAATTTCTTGCAAATCCGCCGAGTTTGGAGCTCTCGAGTCGAAAGTTGTGGATGCAAATTGGGATGGATGTTTCGAGCTCATTAATGGACTAGAGGGCTTAGCTGATGAGCAGAGAGCTTCGGCCTTAGTCCTTGTTCTTCAGCAGTGTTTGCTAGAATGCTTGAAAAATGGGGATGATTCTGCAGCATTGAAGTTGTTAAGGAAACAGATCGCTCGCTTAAAAGTTGGGAAAGAGAATGTTTCTAGACTTGCTTATGAGTTAATCTCTCCCAAGGAATCGGGGACGGATTTAGTGTCAAACATGAGGGAGAAACTCGTGACTGAACTCGAAAATGTGCTTCCACCTCCCATCACATTGCCTCCAAGGCGGTTAGAACGTTTGGTTGAAATGGCTATCAGTTCTCAGATCGATAGCTGTATTTACCATAGCATTTCTTCTGTTTCACTTTATGAAGATCATCATTGTGACCGTGCTCAGTTTCCTACGAGGACTTCTCAGGTGTGTCCGTGTTGGTTTCTAATTTCATTTCTGACTATATAAATTACAAGAACAATAACAACACATATTATTGAATAGTTCGAGTAAAATCGTGTTATGCATTGGATTATCATGCACTTTTTAATATAGATGCACTAATATGTCCCTTGTAAGGTTACAGCGATCAATTTGATATTGAGCTTTGTGTTCCACTTTTAAATATGTGAAGTACTTTTAATGCTATTGCAGATTTTAAGCAATCATGGAAATGAGGTTTGGTACGTCCAGTTTTCAAATAACGGGGAGTACTTGGCATCATCGTCGAGTGACTGTTCAGCAATTATCTGGAAGGTACTTTTTATTTTGCAATGCACTTTATGCTTGCTACTTCATTATTTGTGGATTCTGTTTAGCTAGGTTGTTGAATCAGGAGGTAGAAATGACAAGAGTTTTAAGAGGGAAACAACAAGACTTCAATAAGATTTAGCTTCTTTAATGTACATGATGTAGGTTTTGAGCATATTTAATTACCTACTTTGTGTGCATTTGTAGAATAGATAACATACATCATTCAATCTATTAATAAGTTAAGTTTTAAAATGACGATAAATGATGAAATGTGTGATTACACGAAAGAGAAAAAAAGAACGAAATACTACTCCGTATAAGTCATTAGGTATGCATTGTCGAGTTTAAACTAGTAAGCATAAAATGCATTGGATGTTACTAGTTTATATTCTTGAGGTATGAAACTCTATTTGAAATAAAATATTAATTCCTCATATAGAAAGGTTGGAGACTTGAAGTATGAAGCTGACTAAATCTTAAGGTATAAATCTTTATATTCCATAGAAAACATTAGTTCCTTTTAGAGACCCAAAAAAAGTGGCTCATTGAAATTGGATTTGTATAGAAATGACTGATTGTGAAGCCGACTGAAACATTGTTATTGCCATACTTTCATCCATCTTATTGAGTTCGTTGCCCATCAGTAATGTGTGGAACTGTGGAAGGAATCATATATGAGAGGCTGTCTCTGAAATTTCATCCGCTGTTAGACTTTTTGCAAAATCCCTTTGTTAGCCAGTATGTTTTTGTTTGAATTTTCACGAGTCTAATGGCCTTTAATTATCAGTTACAACTTACAAGATTACATTACTGGCGTGCATTATAAATTCATAGGAATGTACGAACAATTTTATGCATATCTAGATGTATTGAGCCTTAGTTTCAGTCTCGGAGATCTTTTGATGCCGGCATGTGCCTAGTGAAAGAGACCCTAAAGTGTGCATACATCAAACGATTATTTAGTGTATTTGATGGTTTTCTTTTGTTATTGTTGTTGTGGTTACTAACTTGCTAACTTATTTCTATTGCGGTTACTAACATATTTAGTATGTCTGGCAAAAATGTATTTCCATTATTGAGCAGATGGAGTATTATTCAATCCAGTTCTATTTATAAAACATGATTTTTTGACTCTTATGCAAACTAAGAAACTATGGAGTAATTAATCTTTGTACTCTGATATTTCCTTATGCAATGGTACTTCATTATCCATAACAAATTTAATAACAAATGTGTTTCTTTCATTTATCCAGTCTAAGTAGAGCCAAGTACAATACTATGAGAGCCCTAAACATTAACTGTTCCGCTCCACAATTATAAATTGGGAAGCAAGGCGTAGGGCTGTGGGGACAAACGATAATTTAGATTTTAAGTAAATCATCACTTCTTTCATCTTCAACATCCAGATCATAAACGATAAATTATACATGAAAAACACAGTCAAAGCTGCAGATTGAATTTTTCTTTGCTTTTAATCCTTATTAAGTTACCATCATTCTCTTTTATCCTACTTTTGTAGTTCAGGGGTAAGACTGCATACATCTTGACCTCCCAGAGGAGTTGAGATTATATTGGGTTTGTTGTTCTTGTTCTTGTTTTGATCTCGGGGTATCCTAACTCGTTTCTGCATGTCGGCCCTATGGACCTTTCTTTAATGCTTTATTCATAAATAAAGTTATCTTTAACTTCAGTTAAATAAGAATTGTGAGCATATTTCATTGGTAGTTGGTGTGGCCAGCTTCTTTTCGTTTTGGCAGTTTGTATGCTATGAATCCTAGCTCATAAATTTGTGAGACGTAAAAAATGTTACTGTATCTATCAATGTGATGAAAACTTACTGCAATCCAGTGCACATTACAATAATGCAATGATGCAATTGTGCATTACAATGATGAACAATTGCACACGTGCTCCCTATGGTTTATATTGCCGTGGTGCTGATATAATTTGATGCCCATTTCTGTCAAATATATTAATCCCATACTATTAATATTAGCCATCAAGTCCATACTTGAATAGTTTAACCATACTTTTAAATTGTAAAACACCATAAATAGGCTAGTGATGCCTACAAAAGTAGGGTATATGTTTTACTTTATCAAGTGCAGCAGTAATATTTTTTCTTAAAAAAAACACAAAAAGAGATGCAAAATATTAAAAGCTTGTGTATAAAGTATTACACCCAAAATATTTGTGACAATTGTTAAACAGATATAGAATGTGTAAGAAGTATAGTTCATTAAATTTGTCATGATATTGCTAAATTTTTAAATAGTACTCTGTATTACCATTAATTAATTAACTTAGATTCTTGAAGCGTAAATACTCTTCAATGCTCTAAATTTCTCATGCATGGTTGAAAGTTTCCCAGTGCAGTAATTTTTTCAATAGGGTTATGCCTTTCTATGCTACATCACAGTTGGGTGTTTGTAAATCAACTTTGACAGTTTCTGTGGTAGGTTCCGTGTGATGATGGTGAGGTGACGAAGAAGCATGCATTGTTGGGTCACACGAAACCGGTGTCCTCGGTGTCATGGAGCCCCGATGACACCATGTTGCTGACCTGTGGAAACATGGAAGTTGTCAAACTCTGGGATGTGGAAACTGGCACCTTCAAGCGCACATTTGGCGATGATGACATCATTGTGAACTCCTGTGCCTGGTTCCCAAATTCTAAACGCATTGTCTGCGGGAGTTCAGACCCTGAGAACGGCATATACATGTGGGACTGTGAGGGCAACGAGATCAAAGTGTGGAAAGGGATGCGGATGCCTAAGGTTTTGGATCTTGCTGTCACGCCAGACGGGGAGAATCTTATTAGTGTATTTGCTGACAAAGAAATCCGGATACTAAACGTGGGAACAAACAGCGAACGCATCATTGCAGAGGAGCATCCAATCACTTCCCTTTCAGTATCTGGGGATGGTAAATTCTTTATTGTAAACCTAAACAGTCAGGCGATCCATATGTGGGATGTTGCAGGCGAATGGGTGACGCCAACCAAGTACGAAGGCCACAAACAACATCAATATGTGATCCGGTCCTGCTTTGGAGGGTTGAATAGCTCATTTATTGCCAGTGGCAGTGAAGACTCAATGGTATTTTATTGCTTTCTATCAAACGGACGCCAATGTTGGGTTATTATCTTAGGAAGGGGGGAAAAGGTACTGATGATTTCTATCTTGAACCTGATGCAGGTTTACATATGGAATCGAAAAAACAGCAAGCCCCTCGAGATCTTATCTGGGCATTCGAAGACTGTGAACTGTGTGAGCTGGAACCCGAGGAGACATCAAATGTTAGCATCGGCAAGCGATGACCAGACAATTCGTATATGGGGACCGAGCACCAGTACTAGCTAAGCGACAACAACAATCTCTTCTCAACATTCAAAATTGCAGCTTGTGTGTGTGTGTGTGTGAATGAATCAGTGTATGTGTATGTTTATCCATACAACTTTTTTGGGTCAGGGTGTAAATCGTCATTTTCCCATGGCATAATTTTTGTTGATTTAATAAAAGATAGTTAGATCTGTTATTCCGTTTTTCCCTCCTTGGGTTTTAGGTGTTAGAAGCTGGAATGGCATTAGTGCACCCCCCACCCCCCTTCCCCGGGTACTTCGGTGTACAGTTTTCGTCAAAAAATGAGTAACGGATATGCGTAATGACAGAAATACCCTCAAAGTTTTGGACATTGTAATAGTGCTGAATAGGTAATTTTCTCATATCTTTATCCCATGATATGATCTTATCACCCTACTACCACCACCATTAAAATTTATTTAAATCAACCAAAAAGAGTAAATTGTAAAAGCATATTATATATTGAACCTTGAGACATTCAAGACCCGTTAATATAACTTCTTGGTTACAGGAGCCCGTTAAGGCGTTAATGATTTTAATAAATTGAATTTGGGTGAGCCTCCAGTTTAACCCTCTCACAACCACTCTAGTCACTCACGACCACTCTAGTCCCCTCAATTGCACCGTATAAGTTTGGTCTCTAATTACTCCTTACAAGTGTTTTTAATTTTTCGCTCTCAAGTTTAAGATATTTAATAAAATTGAAGACTATTTATGTAATATCTTAGAATTGAGGACTAAGTATGAAAAAATTGTATTTAACAAGTAATGTCAAATATTATCTTATAAAAAATTAAGTATAATAAATAAAATACTCTCTTCGTCCGAGTATATTCATCTGATTTGACTTTTTTTGAATATTAAACTTCAAAACTCAAATAAGCTTGAGGGGTGTAATTGAAGGGAGTAGATGTGTGTTCAGTGCGGGCGAGGTGAGAGAGTAAAAACCGTCAATTTTAGGTCATCTAATGTCATCGGAACACCCTACGTAATACGGAGTAACAAATTAATACTCTATGAATTAAATCAATGATATACACCCGACGCACTTTACCCACATCGCATTTTTAGCAACACTCCTAGTCAATAAACACGGAGGAGAAACACATTGCCGCAGACCAGTTCGCCTTGCAATCCACTTTCCTCGCCTCCCCGGTGTTGGTTTGAGAAATGTTAGTTTCTTTTTTTTAAAAAAAAAAATTAATTCGCGGTGTAATCTTATTTGGAAACATGTTTTTAAAAATTGTCTTTTAAAAACGCTAAAGCTAATAGCCAAACGTACAGCGTTAGCGTTTTGGATAAAATTTTAATGGTGTAGATTAATTCCGAAAACGTTAACTCTAAAGGCTACCGTCGGATAGCCTTTTCAAAACGCTAACGCTAATAGCTAACACTGATGCCAAACGGAGCCTTTGTCTAAAAGTGAAACTTCAAAAATCCATAGAATATTGATACACTAAACGTATTGGATTGAGAGATTGAGAAGGAAGAACCGAAGGAGGAGAAGCAGTGAGTCCAAAGGGCGATGAAGAAGAATTAGGGTTTAAGAAGATTTCTACGTCCTCTCTTTCTGAAAATATTTTCTCCTTCATTTTTTCTCTTTCTCTAAAATACTTTCTCTTCTAAAAACCTACACTTTTACCATTATCTTTTCTTACCTACCTATCACATTAAACTTTATCACTACTAATCTATGCATAACATCTTACTTTTATCTATCACGTCAAAATCAAAATTAGAAAGTCAACCATAAATATACACTCCCTGTTTTGGCCTAGCTAAAGTCATAATATAAATGATTTTAAGAGACGGAGGGAGTATTATTATTCTGATAATTCTAAATGATGATTTACATCTCAATATAGGGGATTATAGGGATTTAAGAAACCCTAGCTAATACTTACAACATTCTTATTCCTAATTCTGCCGGTTTAATAAAAGCATCAAGGAAAAGAAATGAAAAAAAAACTTCCGAAGAAGTTTATAATTTCGCTCGCCTAAAAATGTTAACATCTGCAAACGAGCTTAGAAGATTTAATTATTATTCCTATTTTCATTCTTATTCCTATTTTCATTTTATAGTTTTTTTGTGTTTCTTTATTTAGATATACTTTTGATTTTAAAAAACATGGTTTTGTGACATTTTAATGTTTAAATTTGATGTGTATGTATTCATTCCGATTTATACCGAAACGGATATATACCAAACCTACCCAACCGAAATTTCGATATACAAATCGGTACAACGTAAAATCTCATACTGAATCACATTATTTGGTACGGTATCGATACGAGCTAAATATCGGTGTGGTCTAGGTGGAGGGTGGAGTGAGTATATAACTTCTCCCTCTCTTGGGGACCTCTTCTACTAAGTAGGCTATCTTCTTCTCCATCAGAGCATCACAGTGCATATATAGTACTCCGTATTACATAAAGACCCAATTATATTCATCAACAAGAACAATAATAAGCTTTGCTTTCATGGCGGACGACGACGAGTCAACCTCACCTTCAAATCTGCAAATCACTGTCCAGAAAAGCCCGTCCGAGGCCCAACTCTCCGACCTCGGAATCAAATCTTGGCCCAAGTATATATATATATATATATATATATATATATATATATATATATATATATATATATATATATATATATATATATATATATATATATATATATATATATATATATATATATATATATA